TCAAAATGTGTCACCGCGCGCCGAGACTAGCGTGTCTAAAGCGCCTGGTCAGAAGTCGATGTGAACCTCTTCTGCGAAGGAGTCAGGCATTGTGCGAAAGGATCTATCTTAAAATCCATGTTTTAGCCCCTGAGCTGTATAATAACTAAAAATAGGCTTTACCTTCGTCACTGCAGCTCAAATTCTTGTTGTGTAACTATGTTACGGCCGTTTCGGCATTATAATGCCATCGTCAGACTACAAAAACACAAACTCGGCTGAAGTAGCGTCGTTGAAGGAGTCGGTTTTTGCTCGGAACGGGAACATGTCACCCGTTAGTACGACAGGCCTGTTCGGTTTTTGTAAATATTTTAAATGTATATTATTGTTTGTATGTGTTACGTGTTTAAACTTCAATGACGCTACTTCAGCCGAGTTTGTGTTTTTGTAGTCTGACGATGGCATTATAATGCCGAAACGGCCGTAACATAGTTACACAACAAGAATTTGAGCTGCAGTGACGAAGGTAAAGCCTATTTTTAGGATCTATCTTCTATCCATATAACGCTACATGAAACTTTGTTGGTTGAACTCCTCCGCCATTTCTTAACCGATTTTATCCATTGACGTCTCATTGGAAAGAGCGTGTCACGTAGATTTGCAAACTGGCCTTACATGTTTGAAAAAGTCCCATGGGCCCTGGCCCCAGAGGCTTTGAAGGTTCCCATGTTATCGTTATGGAGAACTTAATTGCTTAAATTTTGATCAGCTGTATAATTTAATTGCGGTTATTTATTTTTCAATTCAATGAAACGCATTGAGTACATTTTTTTACTATTTGAGTTTGTGTAAACATAACCCCCAAGACGGATCGTGTTAGTATGGTTGTATCTTAAATGTGTGTATTTATTGTTGTTTTGTGTGAACTTCACCCATGAACTTCACTTTGAACTGAACTTTCCAGTTAACTTCACTGGAGGAACAAACACCCACGACCACTCCGTTCCGGAATTAAAATCGGAACGGAACATCCGAACTGTACAAGCCATTAGTGTTCGTGGTTTAGTGAAAAACGAGCTTGAATGGTGTTCATGAGGTATCCAGATCGAATCCCCCGACATTAACTGACATCCGTGACATGAACTTTTTGTCAAATATTTTGCTTAGAACTCGATTACTTCTTAACTGTACATCTTTTATACTGTATAAATTTGAGTAATTACAATTTTATTTTATAAACAGGACTATTTTATTTTTTATTGGTAAACTTTAATTAGATTTTAATTTTATATCTTTTTTGCGAATTTCCCATATAGGGAATAAGGTTTCACGGTAAGACCTGGACCCGCGACCGATTCACTTTTGCGTTTTGAGGTCCCCAGAGACCAAAAACACCAAATATGTTCAAATTCATATATATATATATATATATACATATATATATACATATATATATATACATATATATACATATATATATATACATATTTATTTATAAATATGTATATATATATGTGTGTCCGTTAGCACGATAACTCGAACAAAAGTGATCCGATTTTGATGAAATTTGGTATAAACGTGTAAACATACATTTATTCGAAAGAGTTCGCGAACCAGCATAATCGGATAATGGGAATAAAGATTTGTGGGGTAAAAATGGGGTTTTCCCCATTTTTGACCCTAAAATCATAACATTTTGGAATATATTTTACAACCATTTTGTAGAACTAAAAAAAGAAATGATGTAGTATATTGAAGCATTGTATGCCTAATGGTTACGGAGAAAATAAAAAAATTCAAATTTAAAATACCCATGTTATTCTTATGGAGAAGATGAAAACTGTTTTAGTTTTTTTGTTTATGGATAAGTTGTAAATTCGCTTCGTCTGAAGGTTTGCTGCGGCAGGGGTATTTTATATTATCAGCAAGTTTGGGTGGTTGTGTTAGGTGATGAGAGTTTAATTTTATAATTTATAATTGTAAAATTAGTCTTATAATAGAAATAAAATAATTTTTCTTAAGTCGTCGTGAGGGGCTCTCGTGGCTCGCACAATGCCCGACTCCTTCACAGAAGGGGTTCACATCGACTTCTGAACAGGCGCTTTAGACACGCTAGTCTCCGCGCGCAGTGTCACATTTTGATGTTGCCCCTACTCGGACAGTTGAAAACTCGGACAAATGATATTTTGATATTGTTTTAAATAATTTAAAAACTCGGACAGTTGATTTAACGAAATATTATTATTATTTAAACCATACTCGGACAGTTGAAAACTCGGACACTTGATATTTCGATATTTTTTAAAATAATTTAATAAACTCGGACAAATGAAAACTCGGACAGTTGATTTATCTAATTATTATTAGTTATTTATCAAAACTCGGACAGTTGAAAACTCGGACAAATGATGTTTCAAATATTTGGTAATTTTTAACAAACTCGGACAGTTGAAAACTCGGACAAATGATGTGATCCCATTCAGATTGTAAACCTGTAGACACTCCCATTTGTCCAGTGAAAACGAGCAAGCCTGATGAAGAAGTAAGCTGTCTGACAAAAGATTATCCTTACAGAGAAGTTGTAGGAAGTTTGCTGTACTTATCCAACAAAACCAAACCTGATCTTACACTTGCTGTGGGATTAGAAAGTAGACGTGTTGAGAATCCAAGCAATGAAGATGTTGTAAATGTCAAACGAACCTTAAGATATATTAAAGGTAGGCCTACTCAAGACGCAGGAATATTATTTTCCTACAATCACCCGACAAAGTTGGCTTCCTTGTACTGTTTATAGTACAGAAAGCTGCTAATTGCTGCATATTTATACTTTGCCGTACGGTTTATACTTTGTCGTACGGTTTATACTTTTCCGCACATCAGGATTCCAACGAAACAACACAAAACAGCGTGGTTCTATTATGCACATAATCCGTGTACGCTTGGAAATAGGTTGGCAACACTTAAAGATGATAATACTATGAGCAGCTGATTGACTATTATAACTATGATTTAACCTGTCATTTCGTATTTATAGTTTCGGTATTTCTGAACTTTCTGGACTTTTCCTTTCGTTTTTAAAACGTTTTTAAAACATTCCTACGATCTTAATAAACAAGAAAATACCTTTAAAGCATTTTTTTAGGCAGGGAAACCACTTCAAATTACAAAAACATACGGAACTATATTCTCAAAACGCGGAGCACATTTCTTGCCGAGGAAAAATAGCGGAGTGATACGGACCGCGGGTACTACTTTCTATAGGGCACCATTTGTGTTGCCAGCTGAACCTAAAAACGTGTTGTATAGTGTTTGAAAGACTAATTATTTAATGCTTTATAGTGACTGTAGGAAAAATATAATGTGTAACACGAGTGAAAAAGGCCTTTGCTGCACTCGAGATCATTCCGCACTCGCCTTGCTCTCGTGTGCAGCAAAGTGCCACTTTCACCACTAGTTACACAAATAACTATTTCAGCATCAGGAGAAAATTGCCTAAATGTATATTGTGACGCAGACTATGCAAATTGCAAGCATACAAGAAGAAGTACTACTGGATTTGTCATAATGTATGGAGAAGACCCAATAAGCTGGTGTACAAGAAGACAACCGATTGTAGCTTTGTCCAGTATTGAAGCAGAATACATTGCAGCGGCAGAATGTGTCAAAGAGTTGTTGTATTTAAAAACTTTCTTGCAAGAGTTGACTGGAACTAATGTTCAAACAAACCTAAACATGGACAATCAAAGTGCTATTAAGCTTTGTAAAAATGGAATCTTTAATAAGCGAAGCAAACACATTGATGTTCGCTACCGGTACCAATTTTTGACTGAAAACGTAGGGCAAGGTAAAATAAACATTTCTTTTGTTTCTACATCCGAGAATGTTGAGGATGTGTTTACAAAACCCTTGAACAATGTTAAGTTTCATAAATTCAACAAAGCCTTGATATACTATCCAAAATCTTGAACAGAAGACAATAATCGAGTTATTTAATTTTTGTTTGTTATATAAAACTAAAATTAAGGGAAGGTGTTGAATGTAATTTTATTTTTATATGATATGTTTGCTGTTACTTGTTCTGTATTTAATTTATGTTGGTAACAGCTGATCATGTGTAAATAGTTAGGATTGTTTTTGTTATAATGAGAATTGTTGAAGAAGATATGTTTGAGTAAAAATGTTGTGTGTGTACTCCAGTAAAATAAAAGATAATTATTGTAACAGTAAAAACTTAGGTGTTAGTAATTTACTTTCACTTAAGTCAACACGGTGCAAACCATGGTGAAATTACTAGGCCTAATCGTACTTCACTGCGTACCACTAGTGGTATGCGCACCACAGGTTGGGAAACGCTGGAGGGAAGGTGCCTATAAGGAAGGACCAGGATTATGATGGAGCGACCAAGTGGTTGGAGATGTAAGACAAATTCGGGGAGAAGTAGACATGGTGGAGAACAGTCTGGAGGCAATTTGTTGGCGAGACCAAAAATCAACTTGGGTTAGAGTGGCTACAGTATTAAGTTAGTAAGAACAAGGTTGCAAATTTTTATACAAACTAAAATTAGTACAAACAGTGATTTTAGCAGGAACTATCTTTCTATATATTAATAGGCAAGCATGTTTCTTTAAAACCTTTTTTCTCAGCTTGTGTACATGGTAGGGAAAATCTACGCATATTGTTAGAAAGATATTTTCTTGCAGATGTGTAGAATCCCTCTATAAATTAAAATAGGCTCAAAAATAAGCAAACAAATGAATTTTTAAATTACAAAAAATTAACATGGGCCTTATAGGTTGCCATGCTGGTGACGAAATAACAACAAAATATAAACAGAAAATCAAAACAAATGGACAAAAATCCAATCGCATGTTCTATTTACAGTGTGGGGTGAAAATAGTCTGTACCGGTATATAAAGTATTTTTGGTAGAGTTTTCAACCACTGGACGACCTCTAGTATGTATGTATTAATTATAGCTTTAACTTCTGCAACACTTGTTTGGAATTATAAATTAAACCTTACCAGAACCAGCAGTAACCATGAAAACTGGAATGTAGGATCCACCCATTGACGAGCAAAGCTCTTCATCTCATCTGAAATTTAAAAAAAACCATGCATAAACTAAAAAAATACAGTTATTTTAAAATTTTATGGGGTAAGGTCCAGAGGGCCTGTCTGGAGGACCAATCCGGGGCTAATGACCTTAAAAACACTAATAGACCCCTCAAGGATTGGAAAGGCTTATTGACCAAAAAAAGTGTGACATCAGACTACTAGTGGTGATGCTAACTGGGCACGGCCCAGTAAGGAAACTCATTAGAACCATTGGCAGGTCGGAGGCTGACCAATGCAGATTCTGTGAAAACGAGATGGAAACCTCCAAACACTTATGGCTGCACTCTCCGGCCTTGGCCCAAGAAGGTTGAAATCGCTGGGAAGTAGTGATGGGTCGGTACCACTTTTTCAAAGTCGGTACTAGAACCAGTTCCTAGCCAGTAGCCAAAATCGATTCTCGGTTCCGGTACCATCGGTACCTTTAAATTTTTAGGATAGGCTACTTAATTTTTTATTTTAAAAACAAAATATCTATATTTCAATTTTGCAGTATTTTGCATTAGTATAGGTTGGTACAAAACTTAAGGGATTAAGAAAATAAAACTTATTATTTGTAAAATAACACACACACTTATATAACCAAACACATTCAAATCAAAATAATATATAATGTAGCAGATGTGTTGAAAATAGTTGATAAAACAGCAATAAAACATTCTAACTAGCCAACTTCCAATTGCAAACCCTTCTTATCACATCAAATAACTACCATATTTGAGGTACTATATAGAGGTGTGCCGGCCTAATATTTTTAGTCCGGCCAAACTCAAAGTAATATCGTGATAATCGTCGTAATCTGAGATCACTGCAAAATCCGAAATATCTTTCTAAATTACTGAAACATCATCACTGTTTTTCACGGTTGCGGCAAGATCATGAACATCTTCTGCGGCCGTGTAGACATCATAATTGTTTAATGCGATGGCGGCAGGATCATGAAAATCTTCCGTAGCCGTGTAGACATCATCATCATATTCCCAATCGCGGCAAAATCATGAACATCTCTTGCGGCCATGTAGACGTCATCGTCTCCCGGTATCGCAGTAACATCATCTGCAATCACGATTGCAGCAAAATCATCCCGTGGTCACGGAAACATCATCGTCATCTTGTGCAATTGCGGCAAAATCGGTAACTTTCCGGCATTATCAGTACTGGTACCGACATTTCACCAGCGGTTCTTGGTTCCGGTTCTTTGCCATGAACCGGTGGAAGCGACATTTGACATGAAGCACCGACCCATCACTACTGGGAAGGCTGCAACTCAAACCTGATGAGATGAGACGAAGAAGCGTCTCACAGCTTCGAGGCTATGCCAAAAGCCTAGGGCTGTCAGACTGAGCAAAAGGGTGTTAGAAAGATCAACAGGTCAAACATTATTTAGGGGTAGGATTACACCAACACCTTGCCACAAAAAAAACTTATTCTCCATATGGAAAATTTGCTGCAAAGCCCCAAAGAAAATTGTAAATGACGTTTCTGAGATACAGTAGACTCGCTCGTATCCGGACTCCTCGGGACCAAGGCCAGTCCGGATAATGGGTTTTCCGGTTAAGTCGACGTCCTCAAAAACTCGCAAAATTGGACCGTTTGAATGCATATTGAACTTAAATTTAGGAGAGCATTGTATTCAGACACATGATCACTAGTCTCAAATCTTTCCCGCGAGAACAGTAGTTTCAGTACCACCCACTTCCTGCCGATCTAGTCCGGTTAAACCGATGTGCTGATAAAAATTGTCCGGTTAAAGAGATGTCATTTTTGCCAAGTGTAGTCTGGTTAAACCGATGTCCAGTTAATAGGTGTCCGGATAAGAGGGAGTCTACTGTACAGGAACATTTTGAGTTAGTAAGAGCAGCAGAGTAGTATAATATGTTGCACAGTCTTAAAGATGTTTCAGAGGTATGTGCATTGTGCAAGTTACTCCCAAAGCAATTGGCGACACAATTTTCGGTTTTTTCACAATCTGATTCTTTTAATTGTTAGGTCAACATAACTCTTTGAAAACCCTGTTAATTTTAGCATTATTGTCAAACAACTACCCGACATTCCTAATGCAATAGCATGGCTCCTAGCAGAACTTCTTGGATACTCTGCTTAACTACTGCTCTGACCAACACTTACAATTTTTAGTGTTCTCAATGATCTTTGTTGTCTGTGTTTTTTCAGTTTTAAGGGTGTTACCACTTTCTTTTACCTTCAAGAACAACGATTGTACTGTTATCGCATTTGGAACAGTGAATCTAATAAAATCAAATCAAAATTTATTGTCACAAAAAACTTTATAGTCGTTGAGCAGTACAAAAAACCTGCAGTGAAAAGCTCTTTGCCTTGCAACCACTGATTTGTTGTTTTAGAAATATGCATACACACATATACACACACACAGTACAGTATACCCTTGCTATTGTCCCTTCTTAACCATGATGGCTATAGAAATGACATGAGTGGCCGATGATAATAAGACCAAAAGTGTCCACTTACCACCTACACAGCCTGAGTACTAAGCAAGTGAACTGCTAAATTCGTTTTGGTCCACCATGTACTTTCACAACACCAATGAAACTCCAGTATTTCACAAACGAGATTCATATTACAGAGTGGGTTATCATGGATCGGATATTCAGAGTCAACTCTATTTTACAATTAATAAGTTTTTAAAGGTGTGTTTGTGCAGTGAACCCTAATCAATAATACAAGGTTTGCTTGCTTGTACATGCGCTCACCTCTGAGTTTGTTGAGCAGGAAGGACTTGCCGCTGCCCCACTTGGCGTATAGCCCGACTGTAATGGGCATAGACAAAGAAGGCTCTGACACCATGTCTGCCAAGGCACTGCTGTACAAGTCATAACCTAACAGCTTCTCATTGTCTTCATTGGTGTTTAATCTTCCTGCAACAACAGAGGTGGATACCTGTGAAGAAATCTTTTGATTTGCTTTTATTAAAGACAAGTAAAGGAACCATCACACTGTACTAACAAAAACAAAACCAAGTGTGAATTAGTGACACAATAAAACCATTCTAGAAGTACTACTTGACACTGCTAAGCTTATTCTTTGTATCACAATTTTCAAGATTGGTCGCGGAAACAGAGAAGAAACAGAGGATACATTTAATGGTACACTTAAAGTGGTACCTAGAACCAGTCGCTGGTGTCTAGAACAAATTCTATTCGTCGTCCCCTTCCGCTCTCCTTTCCCCCCTCGCCGTCATATAATACAGAATGACCCTGTGCGCTACAACTGCTGTACAAATATGCTATGTGGCCATCACCATTTGGGATCTTCTTTGCTCAATACTAGTACATATCCGCCCCAACATACCAGAGCTATATGCGTTCATACCTACTCATTAGAAGTATGAAACTGTATACTATATACTTATACTATATTACTATATACTTAGAAGGAGAGAAGGAGGGGGAAGAGGAAGAAGAGGAGGAAGAGGAAGAAGACGAGGATGAGGAAGAGGAGGAGAAGGAGTAGGAGGAAGAGGAGGAGGAGGATGAGGAGGAGGAGGAAGAGAAGGAGGAGTATGAGGAAAAGGAGCAGAAGGAGAAAAAGTAGGAGGAGTAGGAGGAGGAAAAGGGGGAGGAGGAGGAGGAGTAGGAGGAAGAGGAGGAGGAGGAGTAGGAGGAAGAGCAGGAGGAGGAGGAGTAGGAGGAGGAGTAGAAGGAGTAGGAAGAGAAGGGGGGTAAGAGGAAGATAAGGAGGAGAAGGAGTATGAAGAGAAGGAGGAAGAGGAGGAAGAGGATGAGTAGGAAGAGGAGGAGCAGAAGGAGGAGAGGAGGATGAGGAGGAGGAGGAGGAGGAGGAGGAGAGAGACAGAGGAGGAAGAGAATAAGGTGGAGGAGGATGATGAGGAACCTAAAAGGGTATGTTTTGGGCTTGTCTTGAGTATTGCAGTTACCAAAAATGACAAACAAAATCAATTTTTACCGTGGCACTGATCTATAAAAAAAAATGGGTAAAAATGTACAGGTATAGAAAAACTACTGACTCGCGGTTACTATGAGATGGTTGAAATGACTCGGCGGTCACGACGCGATCGTCGAAATGACTCACGGTCACGGCGCAATCGTCGAAATGAATAGTTGTCTGGGCCAGTGGCGTAACAGTTTTTTTCGGCCCCCCTGCAAACTTATTTTTTGGGCCCCCTCCCATGAGTTTTTTTTAGCCCACCGATGCAACAAAATCAAACACCCCCCCTCACCACTGCGTTTTTTTTGGACCACCGATATAATGATCAAACAGTTGTTTCATCATAAATTGAGTAGTAAATAAATTAAGGGTAATGTTTTATAAAAGAACGTGTTATGTATTTCAGTCATGGTTTAATAAAAATGTTACATCATTAAATATTTCAATCCTAGTGCACCTGTTGCTCAAATTCGAGCAATTGCAAAGTATCAAGTATCCCAGGCATTATTTCAAAACGAATAACAGTCATAATTTCCGAAGACGTAAAAGAGTCAACTCAAAGATAATGTAATCAATCACTCCAGTTATCGACACTGAAAACGAACGCTCATTCCACTTCAGTTATCGAAACTGAAAACCAACTCACTCTGAAAACGAACGCTCTCATGCGTATAATGTGTTTGCTATGAACAGCTGTTTTAGGATGCAATTAAAACAAATTATTCGTCTGTTTAAGTAAACAAAATCTTTTCTTCATAAGAAATTCATTGGGTTTTTAAATGCCCTGTGGGGCAAAGCTCGAGGACTTTTGTTACAGGAATTGGTGAAAGGGGGCGTCTACACAACTAATACTTAATTTTGACACCTCGTTTGTAAAAATCCGTCCATTATCAACGTCTGAGTAGTGTTTCGTAGAAATCGCCTTCACGTATTATATATCTAAGCGGATCAGTAGTTGTAGGCTTAAATAAACAGTTTAACTACAGTTATTACTCATACACTAATACAGTAGATGGTTGATTTAAAAAATTACATTCTTTTATCACAGGTTAAAATATGGCATTTTTTATTTTATCTTTGTATGGATTTCAAGCGTTGACCTACATAACAAATAAGTCTTTAGCATTGATGAATTGTGAGGTAAAATAAGAAATAGGCTATCGCACAAATTCAGTAGGAGTAGCAAAATATCTCACGGGCCTCTCGCGCGATCGTCGAAATGACATAGCCTCCTGCGTTCGCGGAACTATCGTGAACATCAAAACGAAAAATCCTGCAATAGCGGCGTAATCGTCACTCGCGAAGCGGACAAATCGCCAACGATCGTATGAAATCCGGTCCTGAAAAATTCATGAATCCATCTCATAAATGGCAAACTTAAACAGGTCCACAATGTAGGAAGTGGTGAATGAAGTAGTAAAGGCGAGCAGTGCGGAGTGTGGGAACCGTTTGTGGCAGTTAGATAATTGTATCTAAAATACTAAAATGCTATGGCAAAATAGTTCCCCTACATGAGTAATTTTTACCAGCGACTTTAAAATAAATTAATGTGTTGTGGATTGCCAGGTTAAATTTTCCATCATAATAAATTAAATTTCCATTTAAACTTAAATAATTAAGTCCAAAATTAGTTGTAAATAAGACTTGAGTTTCCTTTATATTGCTTTTACAATCGAAATAAACTATACCGAGCCATGGCTCGGTCCCCCAGTACTTGGGAATTAAAACAACTACATAATTCTGCAGTTTAAAATAACAAACCCTTTTTATGCACAGGAAAAAGTCCCGTCCCAAAAATAATTTAACATGGAAAACACACATAAAAATGGTAGTTGGTAAATTAAATACTGCTTGCTTTCAAATGTATGTTTTGAGAATTGTAATAATTTTAAAATTGCAAGCTCTCTGTTATAGAAACCATAAAATCTAAGTTTATCTAGTAAAATGACATGTTTAACACAATCAAATGCTTTGCTCAGATCACCAGGTGCTAAAGAACCCATTTCCAGAGCAGAAATTACTTCACTAACTAGAGTATCTATGGCTTTTACCATTGATTGACCAGATCGATAACCAAACTGACTGTTACTGAATAGGTTTAATGATTCAAAATGAGCTCATATTTGGACTTTCAAAACCTTTTTAAAAAAATGTGAAAAAATAGGTACACAAGAAATCGGCCTATAACTACTCAGACATGCCACTGGGCCTTTCTTATAATTTGGAACAACTCTTGATAATGTTAACGGGCTAGGAAAAATACCCTCATTTAGACAACAATTTATACAAAAAGTTAAAGGTTCTAAAATACAATCTATTGTAGACAATAGACATAACTAAGCTACTACTTAAACCATAAACATCTTTGCTATTGGTGCTTTTTATAGACATTACAATTTTACAAACTTCTGTGCAAGTTACTTTAGAAAATTCACACTTTCAGCTGGTGGGATAAGCACATTTAACAACTGATTGGCACAGTGGCGGCGATAGCGGGCCCGCAGGGCCCGCGTTGCGGGGGGGCCCGTGAGCTAGGGGGGCCCGTGAACCTTGACCAGGATTTTCGGTAAATTTTACCGGCACACGGGCCCGCGATAGTGTGATAGGCTCAGCCACACGGGTCCCCTATCATAACAATATTTATATGAGAATTAAAATAGGTTTTTATGATGAAAATTTGTTCAAACCTATAGTTCAACTAGTTTACAACAGCTAAACTAACACTATTACTTGACCGATCGATATAAATTATCTACCAACCTAAGTAAAAGAATTGTCATCAGTTGGTTGCATAATAATAGGGCCGTATTTATAACCAATGTGGCCTCTGGCGTAGGAAGATAAAACATTAATGTTAATCCTCCTAGCCCCCAGAGATCCTCTATGCTGATTCGACTAAATAAACTTGACAATTTTGTTACGACCAAATCGGCAAATTAACCTAGGTGGCTAGGGCACTAGCTAATAAATCATTCCATTCTTTCATTAAAGCTAAAGAAGGATTTTCATTTCATTTCATGTCCTACTATTAGGAGGCTGCCCTTTAGATTTGTTTACTTCGCACTTTAGATGTGTTTACATCGAGTCAGGTAAAAAATGTTAGTTACTTAGTCAGAAAATCAAGCTCGAGCCGATTTTCTCAGTATTCAATACAATAATGCACAATTAAAAGTAAAAGCTTTTATATCCGTGAGGATCACGCTCACGAAATTGAAAGATTAGGCCTACGCTTTTGCCGCGATCGCGGATATCGACGAGAACATTTCCCCGCGGGTGACGATGACGATGTCTCCGTGGCCGCAGATGTTCAATATTTTGCCGCGATTGCGGAAGACGATAATGACATTTATTTTTTAGCGAGAGATATATCTAGGATTTAGCCGCGATTACGGAAAAATGATTTACCCGTCACCACCAACGGGTCGCGGGGAGATATTAGGCCGTGATATTAGATTGGGCAGTGAACGCGGGAGACGATGATGCTGCTATCTAATGATGTCATAGGTTTGGTTGCATTTGCAATCACGGTAAACTATGATAATGTTTCTTCCATGACTTATGACTACGGGAAGTATTTACGATTTTGCCGCGATCATGGAAGACGATAATGACGCCTCGGGAGATGCCTTGTCAAGTTTATTGCAAAATTTAGGCTGTAATACATGGGAAAATGTTTTTAAAGATCATTGGGAGAGGGGGGCCCGGCGAACAAACTTGCGGGGGGGGGGGGGGGGGCCCGCGGGTTCTTATCGCCGCCACTGGATTGACATCAGGTTCAGTGAGTGAAAACATACTAAAAGTTGACCAAAGTTTTGTAAACTCTTAGGGATATTAGAGCCCTTTCAGTAATTGCTTATGAATACATAATTTATATAAACTATTCTGTACTTACTAGCTCCAAATATCTGGCCAAGGATGGTTTTCTGGTGACTCATGTCAATGTTGTAGGGTGTCTCGCCAGCTCTGTTAGGCCTATACAGCAACTGGCTGTTCTTGGGATTCCTCAACAACACTTCCACTATAGCTTTGGACCTTTACACAACACAAACAGTTAGTAAGACCGATGGGGAAGTAATAAGTACTGTAGAATGAAATTTGTTTGCTAACCTGGCTTAATTGAATATATCACCTTTAGGTAAATAAATGTTTGCCAATGTCAGTTTTCATGAGTAACTGTTTATTTTATTCTTAGGCCTGGTTGGACTGACAACAATTGATCACCAGTTTAAACCGGTTTGGATTGCATCGTTTTAAACAGAATTCCTGCTGTGGTAATCTATCTTTATGTATATTATAATTTCTAAAGTACTATTTTTGTCGGTATGCCATAACTTCCTTTTTTCTGCATCAATTTTCATAATTGAGGGTTATTTTAAAGCTTTCATCTTCTTCTACATTATAAAAATGTACAATTTACTAATATTTAAGGGGTTTCCGGAAAAAATTAATTAATTTAATCATTTCATCTATCTTCTATACAATCTGTCTGTTTGTCTGTTTGTCTGTGTGCCTGTGTGTCTGTGTATCTGTGTGTTTGTATGAGTTAAACTCAAAAACTACTGAACCGACTGGGCACAAATTGGACAAAAATAAAGCTACAGCTCCGAGGATACATATAGAACTATTCCTGCTTCGATATTGACCCAGGACTCTACACCTGCGGGCTTTCAAAGTTCTGAGCTAAGAGTTTTAGAAGTAAATATTAGGGGTGTGCGAATAGTGACTTTTGGGTTCGAAACGAATCAAATTGAATACTTCATAATATTTTTGAATATCGAATATTACCGAGCGAATATTTATGTTATTATGATAGACTCCAAAGAATTTTCCAATCACAGTTTTGGAACCCTACTAAGGTTAATAATTCTGATTTAACCAATGTAACATTTTAAAATAATTGATTTTTGCCCTTACCTATTTTATTTGTTCTTGGTACAAAATGAGTACAGTAGAGGGCTTCCGGTATTTTTCTCATTTTATTTAACTGATATTACTATAAAAATGAATAATTTCCTACATTTATGGTTTTCTAACAACAATTACAATATCACACATTATCAACACCTTTGGCTCCTAACATGATTATGTCAAAAAATACCCCCGCTGCAGCAAACCTGCAGATTAAGCGAATTTCAATTTGCCTGATTGGATTTACACTAAAATGTCTACTTAAAATATAAAATTTATTTCCTATTTAAATAGAATTAGTTTAACAAGTACTTAGGTTTGCTGCATCAGGGAGGGCAAAACTGTTTTTTTTTTTTTTGTAAAATGTTAATAGTTAGTAAGAAATAAAAACATTTTCCAAATTTGATCAAAATATGTTCATAAACAAGCAAACTACAACAGTTTACTTGTTCTCCATAAGAATAACATGGGAATTTTAAATTTACATTTTTTTGGAATTTTCTCCGTAACCATTAGGCACATAATAACACTTCAATATACTAAATTATTTGTTTTTAAGCTCTACAAAATGGTCTGGAAAGAAATTGCTAAATTTTATGTTTTTTGGGTCAAAAATGGGAAAAACCTCTTTTTACCCCATAAAACCCCCTGTAAACCCCAGTTCCCATAGTCCGATCATGCTGGTTCAAGAACTGGTTCAAGTTTATCCCGCCTTAAACCTTCAAACCAAATTTGATCAAAATCGGACAAAAATTACTCAAGTTATCGTGCGAAAAAACAGTTAAGATAAAGGCTTAACCCTTTCAGTGCTAGGCCAATAATTCATATTTTGTAAGACTTTTTTGTTTACCTTTTAATTCCATTACCCGTTGTTGAATTTTAACTGTCACGTTGTCACTATTTTATTAATTAGGCTAATTTTGAATAATAACACAATAAGAAAATACACAAGAAAGATAAATCCCGGTATTTGTAGTAAACATCAAATAAAACTTAGTTTTTGTTGTAATTTTCCTGGTTTTCCTTTAATTTTTTTATGTTTTGATAGCATTATTTGAAACCGAAATCTCACAAAATCAAAAGACATATAGTTTACAATGTAATATTGAATTTAACTCTGATTTAGTTGGACGAGGTTATTTTAATATAGCAATTTTAGGGAAACTAATGTTTTGCAGCAAAGTCTCAGGAACACATTTACTACTACTAAAACTAAAAGATTGCATCTAAATAGTCCGTGACTAGCTGGTGCTGCTACCTAGTAAAGCATTGAACAACCATCTGCAGCGCCATCTGTTCGCAATCGGTGGCGACAGCTTAAATACCGGGTTTTGACTCCCCAGTCTTCAAGCACAGATAGCCGAGAAGGCTAGGGCGTGTGTCACTTGGCCAGTGGCATTCGTCTGCTCGGGTTCGAATCCCGTCCTGTGTGGCAAATAATTGGTGACCTGTGTGTTTTGTAGCGATATACTACAACCACTGGGGCATAGTGAGGTGTTCATAATCCTTGGTTTAGACATACACCTCGAAATCATCGGATTGGGCGAATCTTTTAGCTAAGTGGTTGGTAGTGTATCCTATGAACATGCAGGTCACCAATGGCCGTTTTGCTATTTTTTTAAAAATAACCTTCCTCTCTATATCCCTTAGGATTTTTTTAAAACAACGATATATCGTTTCATAGCACTGAAAGGGTTAACCTATTTTACAACTATGATAGGTCATAGCATGTCATAGCCATAATAAAGTAGTTAAAAACTAGTGTACATGTTGCTCGAATTCGAGCAATTCTAAAGCATTACAGGAGTTATTTCAAAAAGAATAACAGTCATATTTACAATGAGTTTAAAAGAGTCAACTCAAAGATCACCGGTGTGTGACTCAAACTTTGTTTATCTTCGTTATTGATAAACCTAAAGCATTCCGGCCGGTTTTCTCCTTCTCAAAATGCCTCGCTGTACAGGCAACACAGGTCATTGATAGAGGGCCAATTGAGAACGAAAAGTCGTTTTGGGGTAGTATTAGGGCCGGCGCATTTTTAACTTATATAATAGTTGAGATTGTCCAGGGTCAGGTGCTGACTTTAAGCCTATTACGCGCCACCGTTCTGTAGCTGCGGTCGTTATCACGATTGCGCTTCCTGTCTATGTTTCGTTGTCGTCACGTCGGAGGCATTTAAAAGAAAAAAAAACAACAAATAAACAAATTATAGTTACACAAAACAACGATAAATGCACAAATTTAAGTAACAATCATGTTAACACGATCCGTCATAGCGACACAAAACAACGATAAATACACAAATTTAAGATACAACCATACTAACACGATCCGTCTTGGGGGTTATGTTTATACAAACTCAAATAGTAAATAAATGTACTCAATGCGTTTCATAGGATTGAAAAATAAATAACAGGAATTAAATTATACAGCTGATCAAAATGTAAACAATTATGTTCTTCATAAGGATAAAATGGGAACTTTAACAGCCACTGGGGCAACGCCCGAGGGACTTTTTCAAAAAAAGTAAGGCCAGTTTGCAAATCTACGCGACACGCTCTTTCCAATGAGACGTCAATGGATAAAATCGGTTAAGAAATGGCGGAGGAGTTCAACCGACAAAGTTTTATGTAGCGTATTAATTATATAGATTAGGTAAAGCATTTTTAGGAATAAAGATGTTTGCAGCAACATTTTGACAAAATAATGTATTACAACTGGTTACTTTTTTCCAACCAACACAATAACGGTTTGTTTATTTTAATCTTTTAAAAACATATAAATGCATTCAGTTAGAGGTCTGCGGTGCACCTAGGTACTAGCCTAATTACCGAGCTAGTGGGTTCCGGTACTGATTATAACAATTAATTACTTTCAATTCACTGTCATTGGTTAAGAGCACATATAAAGGTTTATCAGATGATTGTTTAGGATTTTCATAATTTATTACTAGAGTTGTGGGGCAATAAAAACCATTAGCAGTCCCAAAACCCAAAACCATTAATATCTTATGACGACATTGTTGTAGGCAAGTCAAGTACTTCTAAGAACTTGTTGAGTCAGTAGTTTTGCTCTATAAAGTTAAAAAGTTTAATCACTTTTATTCCTTTACGACTTCCATGATTTATTTAATTTAATGTGTAAAGAAAAAGTCAGAATATAAATACTAGTAAGGCAAAACAAACAATAGAAGGGTGGGATGGGTTGGACAAATGACCTTGAAAGGAGCGGGCCACTGTGAATGGAGATGGCGAGGGGGGAGGGGAGGGTGCAACCTTGAAGCTATATTAGACTAGAGGGGTGGCTTGGCCTGGGATTCTAATAGCAGGACAATGATACATAGTTGTATTTTCGGGAATCCTTTGCCCGATTTTACTTCAGATTCTCTTTTTCCGAGTAGAAACTTTGAATCTTCAAAAATATAATTTGAATTAACGACAAATATATTCAAATTAATGCCATGATTTGCATTTTTACATCAAAATACAACATTGCACAATCATGATATTTAGGTCATTGGCCTTTATTACGCATCTGGTTGTGTTGTTTCAGAAGAGAAGCAGAGACAAAATTGTGTAACAAACAAGAAAGTAGAGTTAAAAAAGATATTTCTCTGTTCAAAAATTGAAAAGAAATGTTGCTGATTATTTTCATAGAAATTAATTCACGAGTTCGTGTCTTGTTAAGGAGTATGTTTAATCTATGCTAAAGACTGTGAAGTGTACTATCCTCATAGCTTACTAGTTGCTACTCAGACAACATTTTCAGACGTCATTCTACTGTACTTTAAGTTCACGTTACAAAAAGTAGATCCTAATATTAACTAAGCTAAAAGAATATATTTAAAATCTATACAAACTTAATTGCTGCTAAAATATAGTCTATTGTTAATTAATCAGATAGGAATGGTTGACAGTCTTGTGTTTCCATGCCAGTAGGTTGCAGTAAGCCTATCGTATTGGAGCATTATTGTAAGCTAGCCAGCTGAGCGGAGTGATTTTAATAATCACACAACAAAATTATCGTCCTTGAAAATGCTCGTGTTCGTGTTTAGAGTTAAGGAAGATGTCATAATATGCTGACGTTGCCGACGAAGCATGAAATGTTGGGATGAAATAAAACAA